TGGTGGATCCGTAAAAGGCCCGGCATGTTGCACCGATGGCGGCAAATTCACCGACTGAGAACAGTCTTGGAGAACCCAAGATGCTCGGCCCTATTGAAGGGTGGAGTCAACATGTCAGGTGCGCATTGGTGCACCAGACATAGAGATGAAGCGCCTTGTTAGAGCTTAAAATTCGATCAGATGCTGTCGATGCTTAGTGTCTGCAGAGTCGCATTGCGTAGCTCCTGCTGCATTTGAGCGGCACTGCAGTTCAACATGGGACGATAAACCCAGCCATCATTGGATTAAAGAGGAAACCAAGAGTTGAGGGCAAAACAGCGCCTTCAAATTGATTAGTTCTCCGTAAAAGACAAGTGAAAAGGGCAATACGAGTAGCGGTAGGAAGTCTCAATCAGATGAGTTGGAAGTTTGGCACGCTGCCTGACATTGTGCCACATCTGGTGGACGAGTGAGGCCGCACCCGGCCCTTGTGGAGCAAGAGCGCACAGACGATGCGTTCTGATGCTCAGCGAGCAGGTTTGACGTTCGATTTCAAAGGTGGGGTTCAGAGGGTGCACCCGCAAGAGAGTGCAGAACATGATCCTCGTGGATGCAAACGAGAGAGAGAGAGAGAGAGAGAGAGAAAGAGAGAGAGTCTAGGTGAATTACTTAACTACAGCAAGGCTTTTCTGAAAGTCGGGCTTGCAAAGTGCATATCAACATGTTGCCTCATGTTGCCCAGCATCAGCATGATGGTGCCTTGAACTGAAGGGTGAACTTACGTGCATGGCATGGGGCGGAGGTTGAAACAACTGGAAAGCAGTTGGTGGAGGCCACCGGGGATTTGCCTGCTACGCAGAGCTGATTGTGCTGCTGGCAAGCTGAACCCACAAAAACTCTAACCCTGCACCCTGACCTTACTCCTAATATAGGCTCTTACCTTCTCTCAAGTCCGCAAATCGCACGTAGGTTACACCCAGGAGCTTTGAAATACGTGTAGAGGCCCTCACGTACCTCAAGGCTCCACTGATCATCCGACTACGCACCAATAATCTCGCCTGGCTTGTCCGAGTGTGAGTGCCGAAAAACCAAACCAAAGTCTAAGTGGACGGGAAAGAGCCCGGAAAGCGCCAGAATCTCTTTCCCTTTTGCAGCGGAAGATCAGACGAAGAGCCAATCCGATCCGATAAGTTTCCATCGCGAGACTAAGTCGCACAGCGTCTCTGCGGCGTCACTTTAGCAATCATGGCACTAAGCCGTAAGCTTCATCGCCCTATAACCAACCCTATAAGGCTACGACGCAATCTCGCTTGAGAGCATAGATCCCTGCCATGCGACCCTGTCATATCTGGCCAACAGTTGTCGCTTGAGTCTGGTAACTTGAAAATTTGTGGAATCTGTGCACTTCGAGATAAAGCGGTGTTCAGCCAGAAGAACATCTCAGACCCTTTTCGCAGTTTTCTGAACTTAGTGTGTCACTAGTCATTTGTGTTCGAGCTCAACCTCACCAAGCAGAGGTTTTGTGGTTTGGGAGATAGGTCGTCGGACCAGAGATCACGCTGGCATTGGATGTCTGCATGCAGCAGCCTCCGTACTCACCTTATGTTCCTTCGAGGCCTAGCTCTGGAATATCATTGGAGGATGTTGTCACTCTGAGCTGCTCGAGTGGTCTACCTGCTTGCTCAACGAAGTTATATACTGTACCGTGCTAGAAGATACTCAAGATGCTGTAATATACCAGAACCTACTACCCTAAACCATACACGCTAAACCCCAATCTACTATTTCAAGCTATGAGAGCCAAAGCCTGGGAGGCTTCGGAAGCAGGCGGTGGAGCAGCTGACGGTTGCCGTGAAAAGTGGCAGCTTGGACCTCGGTCTTCGGATGGAAAGTTGCCCGGGCTTGGGGGTTAGGGTTTAGGGTTTAGGGTTTAGGGTTTCGGGTTCAGACAGGGCTTCGCGGTTGAGGCTTTAGGGATTTCTGGTTGAGAGTTTAGGGGCTTCGGGTTCAGGGTATAGGTGGGAAGGTCGTGCTGTTGAGGAGTGTTCGTTGGCCCACACAATCCAAGCCCAATGCTGAAAAAGGGTTTGGGTGCATGAGGTTTGCAGGCGTTTCGAGGGGTTGCGGGCTTCGGGTTTAGGGCTCCGAATCTGGGTTCAAACAAAGGGCTTTCGGAGCACAGTCGGCGCCTTGGTTCCTGGCATATGCATAGATCAGGTGTAAACGGGCTTTCGGGCCTAGAGCCTAGAGTTAGGAGTTTCACAATAAAGGGTTTAGAAGGCAAGCGAGGAGGAGCCGAACGTGCCTGTACTGCAAGATAGATCGCAGAGCTGAAGATGCTGAAGCAACGAAAGAACGGTAATGCAAGACTGTGTGAGTGTCGCATGCTCCTGAAGTACGAGCCTGCCAGAGCTTCAGGTCATGAGGCTGCGGCAGGAGTGCTGCTCTTGGAATCTCTGCTGCTTGGAAATTCCTTCTCCTGAGTTTTCCAGACATGCCTCTAGCAGCATATGCACAACACAGAGTGTGGCGGCTGTCCCTTATCAACTCACCCAAACAAACGTAGATGAAGTAAGTGTTGCAAACATCTGACACTCTTGTTGGGATTAGCCAAAGAAGGCACAGAAGCGCTTGCAGCGGTATCCAGCATGAACCTAGCAACGCGCAGTGTCGCACAGCTCATTTGCAATAGCAGGAACATACCAACACTCAGCTGATACAACTTCTGCTAACACTGCCGAACATGTCACTGGAGAGTCGCGATGACCTGGCAAGCAAGCTGCTGGTGGCGACACAGGAAGGCAATTTTGAGGCACGCGGTGTGCTTCTTCGCAATTACGAGTGCGTGTAGAGTGGTTTGCCGTTTTGCAGGAGATCTCCCGACTGATTGCTGCAAGGGCCAGGGGCCTTGCCTGTGGGTTTTGAATTTAGAAGGTTGGTGCTGTGGTGGGTCTGGGCGATTCTCTTACCGTGTATGAGGCAGACCCCAATGCGCAGGATGAGGTGGGTGAGACGCCGCTCTTCGAGGCCTTGGCAGGGCTCCATCACGGCTTGTAGGAGCGCATTGCGGATCTGTCGTCGTCCCTGTCCTTCCCTGTCCTTATTGTGGTGGTACTTTGTAAGATGGAGGGCCGGCGAAGACACCTTCGGAAGCCCGCTCGCTGGCAGGCCGCAGCGGTGGGCAACTCCGAGATCGTATCCCTGCTGTTGATGAGCTCTGCGAATCCAAACCACATCTCGCATCAGGAGATGGTGGCAAGGCTTCGCCGCCCTCTGCTGTTTAGACAGGGCTCGATAGCAGGGGTTGAGGTTCAACAGCCGTGACCAGACCGTAGCCGTAGCAGTTCGGGTGGCCGTTCAGGCGCGAGGTATCCAATTAGAGAAGTTATGGTCTCTCTGCAGGCAGTTGGCGGCAGACCATACTACTCAGATCATTCTTGATCTGCCCGGGGCACAGATGGGGCTTGCCATCGTTTTGCATTCCGAGGCTTTCGCATCATGTGAAATCGCATTGCCATTCGGGCTGGGACTTGCAGGGGTACCCAGCCGGGCATAGCTGACTGCTGTTGGTGCAAGGTTCTCGGGTCGAGAAGTGGAGCCCAAGGAGACGGAGGCTGCAATTTCCACGTTGTCGGCCTCACTGCAATCGCAGGTCCTGGAGCACATAGCTCGAACTCATTCCGCTTCGGATTCGAAAGCCGAAGCGCTCTCGCCGCCACGTGGGCAACTGGAGCAAGTCACAGGTCCAGAAGACGAGGAGCCCAAAACCGACATCGGACCTGTCGGTGACCCCTCGGAGCCGTCACGACACAAGGACTCGGACCATCCTCCCAACCCGGCAGGGGAAGCTGAGGTTTCCGAAGAGCCGGAGATGCAGAAGTCGGCAAAGTCCGCAGCCGCCGTGCCCGAGCCGACCTCCCCAACAACTCCGCAGGCGGAGCACGAAGGAGCCGCGCAGGCGGGACATGGGCACAGTTCGGGCGGGGTCGAATACAAAGCACCTATCGGATATCACATATCGGGCAATGATTAGAATATGAGATAAGATATATTATCTGGTATGTTCAAGACAAAGAAGTATAAATAATTAAGTAAGTAAATAAATAAAGATATATATATGTATATATAAATATAAGTATATATATATATATAATTATATATATATATATGTACAATGTAAGCACGAATATAATCAGAAAGATCTAAGTAAATAAACACATAACATAAGAAAGCACATCGACGAGCAACCAAGCTAATAAACAAACACAAAGAGACATACATATATAAACGTAAATGCAAATGTAAATATATTGTATAAATATACATAAATGAATCATATATATATATATATGTGTGTGTGTGTGTATATATACATAATATGTATATACATCCTACAATTATATATCCTGCAAACTCACACCCTTGCAGGTTGGCAGTCTCACCGACTCGACCGATCCGGTGCTACCTGACCAATCCGAGGAGCAAGAGCTTCGCCCGCCTGAGGAACAGACTGACGTCCGTCCCGATGAGTCAGTCAAGGCAGGTTCGGCAACAGAGCCCGGACCCAAGCCCTTGTCGTCTCTGCACGTCATTGAGCATTCGCCAATGGTGGCGGTTCGAAGCCAGCCGTGGATGCAGAGTCCTGTCATCGCTCATTTGCGGCCTGGCCAGCACGTGAACCTCGGAGAATGGGATGCTACGCAACAGTGGCGACGGGTAGTCTCCGAAGACGGGGGTTGGTTACCCGTGTGGCATCCGACCCTGGGGTGCTTGGTGACGCTGGTCGGCGTAGAGGCATATCCGCTGAAGCGCGATTTCGACCGCCTCCCTGGCCCCTCTGTATCGGAAGTGTGGGAGGAGCTCTACAGCAATGGCTGCTTAAATGTACCTCCACCAGAGCGTACCGAAACCGGAGCCGTAGGGCCCGGAGGGACAACGGCTGCCAAGGCTCTCATGGAGGTCATGACGATGGGTAGGGCACAAACACCCGAAGGCGAGATGGCACTGGCGTCTCTTGACCCAAACACCGTTGAACATGTAATGAAAGCTGCACTCCAGCATCTGCGTAACATCGGCCGACCGCTGGACTAGCGTCTTAGCGCGTCGATGCCTACAGTCTAAAGTGGCTGTGCAGGTTCGATAGTGCAAGTTCAGTAGCTGTTCGGAGGATTTATCTGAGCCGCCAAGAGTGAAGATCATCGACTTGCTGTGCGACTGTGACTGGCCTCGTTGCATCCAGCTCGTCAGTCGCGCCTGGCGCTTCGCATTGAGCCAGTCAGTCCTGCGATCTTGTCTCTTTGTTTTTCAACATGCAGAGCCTGCGCGGCATAGCAGCTCAGGTCATCAAGAAGCTGACGAATGCCAGCTCTGGAATACGTCAGGTCCTCGCAGGAAGGCGTCTAGGAAGCGTCTGTTTTTGGGGCGTGGTCTCTTTGAGCCCAGGCCTGGCAGCCATCGAGATCCTCTCCAACATGAGCTCTGCCTCCTTCCAGGCCGGGACGCCGAGATGCAGGATATTCCTTGCAGGATTCAGGATTCGATTCCTACTTGTAGGGTTTACTATGCTAGGACCTGTAGGAAGCTCTTCCACCTTCTGTCAGGAGCTTTCTGTCAAAGCCATCCAGAGCCTGCTGGACCGCTCGACGCCCAGTAAATGCTATGCCACTGCACCGAAGTATCCGCCCCCTGTGAAGAGAGCTCTTGCTGTAACGGCAAGATGTACGTCTGCCTGCACCGGCTGAGAGCAAGATGTCTATCAACACCTCTCACATGCCGCTCATGTCTGAGATGTAAAGGCCTCCACGATCCAGTAGCAGAGGTTCGTGCCGCGGCGGCTGTCCCAGTTGAGAAGGAGCACGGGATACGCAGATGTCTGCACCAGTGCTGCCAGTCGATGCAACCGGTGCAGAAAACTGCCAGATCGCAGCATTTTGTGCTCAAGTTTCGGTTCCGAGCTGCAAATTTTCCAGACTGGCTAGCCAGGCAGCAGAGGCCCGCTTGAAAAGCTGATTTTCTCTAGAATTGGGATGACTCTGTGACCCTGCAGGCAACATGGCCTCTGATGGCAAACAGGCCGGATGGGGTGCTGTGGGTGTTGAAGGTTTTGTTTCACGGGCATGGGTTGACAGAGCTGCGCTTTGAAGGAAAAGCACATGGGCATGGAAGCCCGCCTGCCCCGGACACCTTCTGGTGAAACGAAATCGAAGAATGCCCAGATCTGGAAGGCCACGGCCCTCCCATGCACCTGGCAGTGAAGAGGTCTGCAGAGACTCCGCTGTGCCAGGGCTTTGTGCAGGGCTCTGTTGGCGCAGCGATCGGCGGATCCTGTGCGCATCCCTTGGACTTGATCAAGGCCGGCGAAGACACCACAAAAGCCGAGAGCACAATCAACAAAGTTGAGAGTGCAGGTGCGGATGCAGCTGCAGACTGAAGTTCCCAGGCTCAGCATGTTGCAGCGACTCGGGAAGATAATATGGCCTGAGGGTTCTGATGGGAGCTTTGGAAGTAGCAGAACTCGAAAGACTGCTCGGTCTCAGGATGGGCCCTCATATTGTCAAGAATGAGGGTGTCCTTGGCCTCTTCAAAGGCTCTGCGCCTGCCACCAGATCTCAAGATGGTTGCATCTGCATTGCACCTCTGCGCTGTTTAAGGACAGCTCTGTGACTATAGGGGCCATGCTCCTATGAAACTATACTTTACCCTTGCTACACTGTGCTATACCACAGTATACTATGAACGACACTATACTGGATTAGTCTAGACTATAGACTACCTAGACTATCTAACCCTAAACCCTGGTTTTGCTAACCTGTGGTAGTAGTGCATTGCTCGAAGGGCTTCGGCCTCGTCTTGTACTGCTGGATACGAGGGACGAGTAGAAGTCCAGACCATAAGGCCACATTGCCTGCCCTTCGAACCATGGACCATCCTCGCCGGCATTGCCCGAGTTGCGAGGGTCTAAACCCTTAGCCCTAAACCCTACGCCCTAAACCCTAAACCCGAACGATTTCCCTGCGGTGCGACATTGTCGGCTGGGCGGGTGGGAAAAAACCAAAAACCCTATACAGTACGATGCCTTGTCGCCCAAAGCCGCGGAGTGCAGTCACGCAGGTGTCGATGCCTCGGCAGCTCGGCAACTGGCAGCTTGGCAAGGGAACAACATATCATGGTCAGTACAGTATGGTATGGTATGGCATATAGTACAGTATAACATAGTATAGTACCGCACAGTATATCGTATAGTTCATGGTGTGGTATGGTATGCTACATAGTACAGTATAGTCTAGTTCGTAGTAAAGTTCACAGTATAGACTAGGTCGCAAAATGGCATCGTACAGTATAGTAGGTTCTAGTGGAGTATAATACAGTACATGGTTTTTTCGTGAGCTGAGGTCTACAGTGGGGCCGCTCAGCAGATCTAAGGGACGAGGAGGGGCTCGCTTGGATGTTTTCGGCGCCTGATGCGCGCGGCCAAATTCAGGTCCGGTTCGGGATGTATGACATGCTCAAGGCCAGCAGACCTGCCACATGCGACCTCGTTTTTACACCCCTTTCCCGAAAAAACTGCTACAAGATGTTGAGACTCTGTCCAGGGCTTCTGCGGCGAGTCCCAGAGGCCTCTCAGCACGGCAGAGAAGGTCCGATGCCGTAGCCATCTTACCTTCGGCAGAGTCTTGCAGTTTGCCCTTGTGTCTTGTCAGTATAGGTACTAGCGAATGTCTAACACCTAGCCACTTACCTACAGACGGAATCCGTCTCGGAACCTGGTTAAAGTTCGCCAGGTCATTTGCGCGGCTGTGGCTGGTGCAACCGGAGCTTTCGCTGGAAATCCGGGCGATCTGGCAATGGTACGAATGCAGGCACATTGGCCGCTAGCACCGCCGTCCGAGTAGACGGAACAGCTGGGCTTGACGTCCGTCTTGCCAGTATGTGAGCTCAGTTAGAGCAACAGGATCAGGGGATATGAGGGGTGCTCGCTGGCGCAACCAGTAGTTGACCCTTCTCCTTTGCAATCCGAACTTTGCTCCGGCTGCCAAGCGCTAGGCGGATGGCAAGCTGCCAGAAGCAGAACGCCAAAGCCCTGGATGCACTTGGCCAACTGCACACATTGGCTTCATGTCTGAAGAACTTCGAAAGACCATGGTCAGTGTTTCACAAGGTCGGGGCTACAAAAACATCTTTGATGCGGCTCCATCCTCGGAGAGCACATGCAGCATGATACACCAGGCGCTGTGCTGGTGCAGGTTGGCAAGATCGCGCGTTCAGAAGGAGTTCTATCCATGTGGCGTACAGGAGTTGTGCCCAACATGAATCGTGCGACTGGGCGAGAGCGTAGTATGTTGCTTTGATGGCATCTGCAGGCAAGTCTGTGCTTGGACACGGATGGACCTGAGGCAACGATAATTACTGTCGGACAGCTGGCAGCGTACGACACCTGCAAGGAGGTCTTCGTTGATGCTGGGCCAGCAGCGATCACGTATTCCCAGAACACCCCTATGGAGCATGTAAATGTACAAGTCCTCAGTTTAACCCCTAAGCTCCTAAACCAATGCATGAGGCAAACGCCTTAATACTTAACCCCCCAAACCCTAAATAGTCATCTGGTCGGACTCGAGCAGGTGCGGTCATACGGTTAGTGAGCTTTCGTGTGACCACGTGGGCATGGCTAGGAGGTGAAGTGAGGGGTGGCTTAGGGCAACATCTTTCGAGACGGATCTGTTTTTCTGGAAAACTTGCCTTGCCTTGCCGATCAGCCAACGCATCAGCATCGAGTTCAAGGGGTGAATGCAGAGTATACAGTGCTGTGGACTGGGCTCATCGAGTAATATAGGGGCCTAAATAATTACCAATACTATTTTTTGGGGTTCCTGATTACAGAGTCTGGGTTCAAAAATATAAGCCCCCTATAGTATTCGGTCAACTCATGTCCCTATCTGTGGGCCAGAAAGATGCGCTGAGCATCCCAGGATACTTTCAAGATGAAGGAGGGTGTCATCGCCTCAGTCCACTCTTCGGGAGAAGAGTGACAAAAAGAGCAGTCATTCATCGTATACTACTGGTAATCAGTCGTAATATCAATGATGTTCGTAATACTAGTAATAACCATCGAAGCTAGATATGAAAGAATAAAGTGAAGTATTTGGGGTATAACTTGCATACGCCTACGACTCGGTGGAATCTGACGGTCTTGCATGCCTTGCATGGTTGTCTGCACGGCTGCTCAGGTCGGGCTCCATTTGTCTTCCAGCTTCGGAGCTGCCTTCATCGCGTCAGTGCCGGGCCCGGTACTGTAGATTTTTGCACATGGTCCTTGCTGAAAATGCGGACTGAAGATCTTCAGCACGTTTCGCGCACGTTTCAGTTGTTTCTGTGTCAGGTGATGTCCAATCCTGTCGATGTGGCGAAGACCCGGCTGATGAATCAGAAAGCCGAAGAGGGCAAGCCTTTGCTGCTCGGACATGTGCCATGTTCTGCCCGTGGACTGCGTCGGCCCTGCATTGTCGGTCTTCCGGGCTTTTTACCCCCAAGAGTGCAAGGCTTTACAGAAGTACGGTGCAGACGATGAGCACCATTGCGCAGCAGGCGGGGAAGCATTAAGCCAGCGACGATTTTGGAGTAAGCGCAACCTTGGACATGCTGACATCCGGCTGGCAGGAGGGACCTTTAGCCTTGTACAAGGGTTTTCCGGCCACCTTTGCTCGGCAATGCCCTTACGCGGCTTGGCGAAGTACATGTGATCGTGTTGAACTTCTAGTTTGCGTCGTGCACGGAGCTCCGACACGATGTTAACGCCGACATCCTTGAGGTCGTGATCACCTGGGTCACCGTTGAGCAGCTGCACCTGGGCCAGAAGCGTTTCCTAGATTTCCGGGTTCGTTCTTGCAGAACTGGCACCATCCACCAACAGTCCATGCAGTAGAGAATGGCCACTTGTAAGTGGCCGACTGGCGTGCTGAATCCAGGGTTGGGCGTTTCCGGTGTCGTGCACCAACTAAGGAAAAAGATCATGAAGGATTGGTGATCCCGCCTGCAGGGACAGTGCTCTTGCGAAAATGATATGTGTAGATGTTGCCTGCCTTCATACTGGTATTTTCCAGCCCGGAAGAATGCGAAATCCCCGCATTGCTTCCTAATCCTCCATGCTGTCACAGCCTTTGGAAATGCCTGGTTCAGCTTAGTCTGTCGTATAATAATGGCAGAGTTCGAAGGGCAACCTGGCATCTGTTCACGGCTGTGAGGCTTTACTGGGTTCTTGTTAAGGGATTTAATTTAAGTTACCATAATAAGGATCTATAGTAAATAATATGGTTTCCTTATTATGGTAACTTAAATTAAATCCCTTAACAAGAACCCAGTTTAAGACCCACTGTGAGTCACCGATGTGATGTCAGTCTCACTTCGGCCTGGCTGGTGCCTGTCTGAGGCCCAGAACCAGACCTGAGAAGTGGGCAATTTTTCGGAAGAAAGCCCGGCCGGCCCGAGCCATGACCCACAAGGGCTGGAGCTGGCCCGCTGTGCTGTGAGGCTTTGCGTGGATGCATGGCTCATCACGGCTTTAATTCGGTTGCGTGGGATGTCTTACTCCGCGGAGCACAACAAGCAGAGCCGGGCTGGGACGGCTTATGCTCTATTGAGTTCTGCGAGAAACGACCCTTGCATCTGAATGCTGAGGCCAGCAAAGCGTTCAGCTTCATGGCTTTTTCTGGCCGGAGCCCGAAGACGAGACCGACATGTCATATGCAGTGTCTGAGACTGAGCTAGGTGGCTTGGACACCCCAGGGCTGGACGTGGTGACACGTACGGTTGCACTCGGGACCAACGAGGCCCTTCTTGATGTGTACATCGCAGCCGGAAGTTGCAGGGCCCAAGCTTCCCGCAAGGTACCCTAGCCGCTCTAACCATTTTGGCTCAAGCCTTTGGCCGGAGCTGCCTGGAGCCTCTCCTTGTCATCCCGATGTTTGGGTTCCACCAAAGCAAGGATTCGTGGAGACCAACGGCTGGTCTCCACGCATCCTTGCTTTGGTGGAGCTCTGGAAGGCTTTGATTTTTGATGGCGCTCGGTCGTGTTGTGAGCCTGGCGGCGAGTCTCGCCATCATGCTGCCATGGTGGCCGCTGCAAGCGCGCGATTTCGAGTCCCGGCGCCTTGCGGCAGTGAAGGTGAAAACCTGTCCAACATCTCGACTGGGTGGGCTGCCCTCCCCCAGCCTCGATGCCGTGTCTTCTGCTCTGTCATCGCTCGAGGTTGTGCGGTTTAGGCTCGTTGTGATGGAGCGTTTCATGAGGGTCGTGCCCTTCTGGCAGCCATTGCAGGAGAAGGAGATTCTGCGGCAGGATCTCCTTCTCATGCAGTGGCTGCCAATTCTGCCCAAGGCAGAGTCTGCCTTAGAGGACGAGATGATGCGCAAGCGCTTCGCGGGACGCCTTCTTGGTTGCCATGCTCCTCATCGGAGGGGCTGTGTCCATGGTCCAGTTCTTCGCTGCTGGTAGCCCAAAGGACGGCGTCGAAGAAACCTGTCGCTTCAAACAGTAGTGCTGACAGTCAACGAGGGCCCCGCCGAGGCCAGGCGAATGCTGGCGCCCGAGAAGGAGAGCGAAGGCATACCTGGCTTCTACGACTATGAGCTCTCCCTGTGGCTTGGAAAATCCACCGTACTGCTGGTCATTACGTGCAGCACGTAATTGACCTAGTGCATGTTAAACAACCTGATGCTGGGAAGCACGGGTATCGTCAGTGAGGCTATGGGTCTCTGGCTGGTCGCCTTGCTTGCCGTCGACGTTCTGGGGTATGTCGGCCGTGCCATTCAGGCAGCGTGGATTGGCCGGAAGGTGCCAAGCCCCGCGAAGACAATGATCATTGATCATGTTTATCGTTCCCAGAATGGGAAGGAGATCTCCTGAAGGACTGCATGCATCACTACGGCTTCCGTATTGCAGTTGGCCGCCTGTGCGGAAGACCAGGGAACTCGACAAAGGGGCTTTCGGATCGGAGTCTTACCCTGGTGACATTGTTCACGCCAGGGCCGTTCCTGTTCTGCGACGGTGCGGGCGGGATAAAGGTTGCCATGGAGTTCCTTCCCGCGCTGAGGGTCCGCCTGCAGGCATTTCACAGCTCCACGCCTTGAATCGAAGCGCTTCGGTCCACTACGATTGACAAGGGCTTGTCGCCGCTGGTGGTGGACGTTCGTGGGGCAGAGACTGGGGCTGATTCATCAAGGACTTTGCGCAGCAGAGCACTCCAGCACGGCTCTGGATGCGATTGGCGAGGATGTGCCACAGGCGGTCTTGGCCGTCATGGCGATGCTAAACTTTTAAGTTCAGCATCGCCATGACGGCCAAGACCGCCTGTGGCACAATTTCAGAATTCTAATCGCCTTCTGCTCCTAAACCTCGTCTTCGAGGTTTAGGCGCAGAAGGCCACTAAACTTCTGAAATTTTAGCATCTCGGGGACACGGAGATTCTGGCGACGCTTATGAACAGAGGCGCAAACAAGGACTCGCAGGAGAAAGACGGTCAGATGCCGCTCCACGACGCCGCAGCCAGCTGCCGTGTCGAGTGCGTGGAGAAGGACTCGCAGGACAAGTGTGGTCAGACCCACCGGGCCGCATATAACGGCCACGCCGACTGCGTGGAGCTGCTGCCGAAGGCCGGGTGCGGAGAGGGACTATCAGGAAGAAGCCGGCGGGCAGCCGCTCCACCTGCCCGCAAGCGAAGGCGACGAGTGCGTGGATTTGCTTCTGAAGGCCGGTACCGAGAAGGACTTGCAGAGCAACGGAGGTACATGCCGCTCCACGAAGCCGCACGCAACGGCAAAGCCGACTGAGTGGACTTGCTTGGAGCAAGTCCATGCAGTCGGCTTCAAGGCGGTGCTAAGAAGTGGCTGAAAAGCAAACGTGCCAAAACAGCACTGGATGAGGCAGGAAATGAAGTCTCTCCTCAAGAAGACCAGCTGCACCTCGGCGCCTCCAAGAGGCGGAATGAAGCGAAGAGTCTTCGGAGGATTCCGAGAGACATACCAACATAGCAATGTCTCGCAAGAAGTGAGGGGGGCCTGTATGCTGAGCCTGAACTCTGAGCAAGAAGCGTTTATACATTTTTGTGGTGGGTTTATGGCTCATTGTCCAGGCCTTCGCTCATCATCGCTCATGTAAAGGTAGCAGGCTCGGAACCTGTGAGGCCATGCCTGCCTGTGCGCAAGTGTGTATGAGTCAAAACCTTTAAGCCCCACGTGATATATATATATATATATATATATATATATATTCATATATATATATATATAGAGTCGAAACCTTTAAGCCCCACGTGAAGCAACACGCATCACAGCGCGTTCACAGGCGAGGCGAGCGGCCGCACAGGTGCTGCTGAGTATCTCTGAGGCCTGCTGCGTGCAGCGACGACTTCTCTATCATACTATACCCTACCTTACTATGCGATACTATGCTATACTATACTATTCTAGACTCTTCTATATTACTACTGCTCTATTCTACTCTATGCTATTCTATATGATTCCATACTATACTATTGTGTACTATTTCATACATTACCACACATTCAGGACCACGGAGATGAATCGAAGGCCCGAGCCTCACGTCGTGCCTGAGCTATGAGCTTCAAGGATGTGCAGCACACGAGGCCGAAAAGGCCCAGCAGATGGACGACCTTGCGTGCTTGGGGTACGATAGAGGAGCTGTTTCTGGCAATTTTCTTGTTACAAGTGCATGGATGGTTCTTGTCTGCTCTCCAGCCCTGACATGTGTGCGTCATATGCGCCGTAGTCGCACTCCCGGAACAGATGTCATTTCAAAAGCCGGAGTCTGAGAATTGGGTCTCAGCGGCTGGAAGATAGGAAAGCTCAGGCCTGTTGTCTCACGTGGGTGAAGCAGCGCAGCATCACGCACGTGATGGCATACCATAATGCCTCTGTCGCCTCTCTTGCTCAAGCGGGGGAAGCGGCAGTCGGGTCGAGATGGCCCGGAAGATCTTTGTGGGCTCGCTTCCATCCGCCGTCACCGAAGATCTGCTCAGATCGGAGTTCGATCGATTTGGACGAATCGATGAGGTGTTCATCAAGGATATCCTTGCTTTGTAGCCTCCTGCTCATGACATGCCACGGCTGGAGGTGTGACTTCAGCTGCAGAGCAGGAGTATAAAGTGTTGAGTTTCTGTGTCTTGCAGGAGGGCTGCCCTGTGGGTAAGCAGTGGGTGCATGACTCGGCCATGACTCAGAAACCAAAGATTTTACGGTCCGATTGCACCTCGGTGTCGGTACCCCGGACCGCCCGAGGCCTTCGTCACTTTTGCCTCCGCGGACGCAGCGGCAGCTGCGAAGGAGGCATGTGACCGACTGCTGAGATTACCAGGTGCGGAGCGCCACCCACAAGCAATTAGACTAATTAGACTTTCTGTTTCAGGCCACAGTGTCAAGTCGGCGGGGGGTTCATTGCGACGACAGTAAGGTGCATGCGACGTGATGCTGGCAAAGAATCAAGGCCGACATGGCTGCCACACTTCTTGGTTGAAGCAGCAACCCGTGCGAGCCACTCCTACCAAGGCAGCACCGGAACTGCTGATGCTGTGTCTTCAGCTCCATGGCAGCAAGAAGCTCTGATAAGTTTCTATCGTGCACGAGTCCAGTGTTTTTCTTGTACCGCCTTGTGCTGTCGTGGAGATGTTGTGACTGTCTATTCCATTTTCTTGCATCAGAGGCTCCGCGGAAGATCTTTGTGGGATCTCTTCCCGATGGGATCCAGGATGCCTGCCACGGGAACCGTGCTGTGGTGTCCATGTTACCAGAGCATCTACTCCGCTGCTGAATTGAGTGGCTCGCTGAGTGGTTATGTGCCCTTCAGCATCCGTTGTAGGCTCCCTTTACCATTTTTGGGGACTTAAACAGGGGCCCCAATTGAGAGAACTACCCACATGACTCTGGGCCCCAACACCGGCACGGTTGAAATTGCTACGGCACATGGAGACGGCCGCAGCTGCGCGGAGGAGTCAGAGTCGGACGACTCCGAGG